GCTTTTTATGCAGTTTTTGCAAAGCTTTATGTGGAAGGAAACCGTGACCTAGGACAAGCTGATGGCATAAGATGTAAGTACAACTCCTCTGGTTTCATATGCAAAAAAAAATTATTGCGCTAGCTCACATGGTTGCAGTGGTACCGGGATTTAAAAATAGTTACGCAAAACAGAGCGTGCCCGCTCCGACCAGTTTTAAAGGGTTAAAAAGAGGAAAAAAATAACTCACTTGAGTGGCTCACTAAAGCGGACAGTGGCAGCACAGTGGAAGACGATGTCAATGTTTTCAGCAAGGATGCTCTGGTCCGCTTTACTCAGATTCAGCTCCGGTTGTGTGAGGTCAGAGTTCACTGCAATGATCTTCTCTGCAAAGTCCGGCTGATCTTGTTGCAATTTTTCAAACAGCTAAAATAGTGAAAAAAGTAAAGTCAGTACGACATGGAAGTTACAGAAGACCATAACCAAATACAGATGACTGTCACGCTGTAGAAGACCCCTTTTTTTTGACCTAGTCACAATTTAGGATGAAGAGTCGTCACTTCTCAGACCAGCCTGTTTTTCCTTGTTTGTTTTTTTACTTGTTTTTAAACATTGCATTTGGCATCAAACTGGAAAACTGTTCCCAAAGAATGTGGTAGTATCACGGTGTGGGGGGGTTTCTGCACAATCTTTATCAGAAGCTGCTTCACCAACATGTTGCTGCTTGTCACTCTGCAAAATTGGCTGAAACTAAAATAATGAAACTGCGATCCCAGAGCCTGATCTGAACCCCACTGAGACTCTGAAGATGACCGAGGACAAATTTTGGCACACGCAAGCCACTACAGTCTCCAAACTGTGGAAGTGATGAAGTAAGAGGGGAGAAAAAGACCAAACTAGAGCAAAATGAGAAACTGCTGGACTTTGCAAAAGTGCAAAGGCAGTCCATCCAGAGGGTGTTCATTGTCGATGTAGCAAAAATATGCAGTATAACATTTCTGTGCGCCATTTTTGTTCCATCTGCCAGCTACAGAAAAGCCTCAAAACCATTCATCACATCACACCATCCTCTCTTTGCCCATTACTCACCTTGCTGTTGACGATTTCGGAGATGCGGGCTTTAGGGCTTTGACCAGCTTTCGATCTGACCAGCACATAGACTGATCTGACTTCTGGACAGGACCTCAGCAGCTTCTCCAGCAGCACCTTCAATAACAAGCAAGCAAAATGACTCA